GGCGGAGCTTAGGGGGGTGCTTAACGCCATCAGTATATATGGGGTGGTTAGTGAGGGGGCGTGGCTTAGAGGGGGCGTGGCTATGAAAGGGGCGTGGTTATGGAAGGGGCAAGGTTATAGAAGGGAGCGTGGTTATGAAAGGGGCGTGGTTATGGGAGGGGGCGTGGTCAAGGGAGGGGCGTGGTTATGAAGGGGGCGTGGCCATCCCAGCCACCGCCTGCGCCGCCGGGTTACAAATACTCCCCCCCCAACTCCAGGGCGTTAATTAATCAGCCGCTGTTATTTCGATATTGACGCAAGAGCTAATGGACAAAAGGGGCATCGACGCGATATTTTGCTCCGTCTGAAGGCGGGTAATGGGGATTTATGGCAGGTCTCCCCCCCCCCCCTCCCGAGGTAGGGCAGCAGCCCGGTCAATGCTCGATGGGGTCGATGCGGTGGCCTTATGCAAATTGCCTTCTTTGTATCGCTATCGATATTATTAAAAGCTAATACCCCGAATGCCATCCTCTGATCTGCGTGGAGGCAGGGAAGATGCAGGGAGCTGAAAGGGCGCCCGTTAATTGCACGAGGCTATTCTTCAAGCGCAAGGCGATGTGTTATTGTAGATAAAATCGATACGAGCGTTAACGGATTTTGCAGTTTACTTCATTATGTAAACTCTGCGGTAGTTGAACTCGTTTTCCTTCAGTTATTCACATCAGCCATAATGGGTAATGTCTCTATAACGATCTACATTATAAACCTTTGCAGCTCAAAAACTATCAGGGACCATTCGTCATTAAAGCCATTCCTTCTAATAACAACATTAATTGTAAGCCTACTAATTGAATGAAGATGGCGACGAGCCACAGCCATATATCTGAGCTGCAGCGTGCCTGAGGTGGGGGCATTGTCACAGGCTACAACAGCATCCTTACACTTATCCCTCAAAAAACCTCATTGTGTGGTTTTAGGGAACATGTCTTAATTCAGCCATGTCCCTTACAACCAGGTGTGCAGTGAAATTAGTATGTCAATTAGTTATTTAATAGGGTTAGTAACTCGGAGCTTAGCCCTCCAGCACCGAAGCTGCTGGCACTTTCCGTGGCCACTCATTTTCCTAGAAACTAGGCACATTAATAAATTGGGGAAGGACAGGGGAAAAGCATATTGTGGTCTTCTCATGAAGGCCAAGCTCTACACGGGAGGAACAGCCAATCCATCTACTGCAGGAAGAAAACCACTGAATGCCAGAGACCTACATTTTCTCCAGAGCTGATGCCTCAAATGGTGCTCGTTCTTGGGAGAGAGCAAACATGGTTCTTGCTGTGCTAGTGATGTCCCCACCTTCACAGATGATCCAGTCTCCTTTCTGCAGTGGGTTTTGCCCTGTGTGGATTCCAAGCTCCCACACGTGTTGCTACGCAACACCTCAGGCTTGGAGAAGAGTGGCTGGAGAGCTGTCTGGTGGAGAAGGACCTGGGAATGTTGGTCAACAGATGGCTGAATACATTCTAATAACAACATTAATTGTAAGCCTACTAATTGAATGAAGATGGCGACGAGCCACAGCCATATATCTGAGCTGCAGCGTGCCTGAGGTGGGGGCATTGTCACAGGCTACAACAGCATCCTTACACTTATCCCTCAAAAAACCTCATTGTGTGGTTTTAGGGAACATGTCTTAATTCAGCCATGTCCCTTACAACCAGGTGTGCAGTGAAATTAGTATGTCAATTAGTTATTTAATAGGGTTAGTAACTCGGAGCTTAGCCCTCCAGCACCGAAGCTGCTGGCACTTTCCGTGGCCACTCATTTTCCTAGAAACTAGGCACATTAATAAATTGGGGAAGGACAGGGGAAAAACAGATTGTGTTCTTCTCATGAAGGCCAAGCTCTACACGGGAGGAACAGCCAATCCATCTACTGCAGGAAGAAAACCACTGAATGCCAGGGACCTACATTTTTTCCAGAGCTGATGCCTCAAATGGCGCTCATTCTTGGTAGAGACCTACATTTTCTCCAGAGCTGATGCCTCAAATGGTGCTCGTTCTTGGGAGAGAGCAAACATGGTTCTTGCTGTGCTAGTGATGTCTCCACCTTTACAGATGATCCAGTCTCCTTTCTGCAGTAGGTTTTGCCCCATATGGATTCCAAGCTCCCATACGTGTTGCTACACAACGCCTCAGGCTTGGAGAAGAGTGGCTGGAGAGCTGTCTGGTGGAGAAGGACCTGGGAATATTGGTCAACAGATGGCTGAATACAAGCCAGCAGTTGCCCAGGTGGCCAAGAAGGCCAACAGCATCCTGGTGTGTGTCAAGAACAGTGTGGCCAGCAGGACTGGGGCAGTGACCGACTCCCTGTACTGGCCATTGGTGAGGTCCCACCTGAGGTGCTGCATCCAGTTTTGGGCCCAACGTGACAAGAAGGACATTGAGGTGCTGGAGCGTGTCCAGAGAAGGGCAACGGGTCTGGAGAAGAAGTCTACTGAGGAGAGGCTGAGGGAGCTGGGGGTGTTCGGCCTGGAGAAAAGGAGGCTGAGGGGAGACCTTCTCGCTCTCTCCAGCTCCCTGAAAGGAGGGTGTAGCCAGGGGGGGTTGGTCTCTTCTCCTAGGGAACAGGCCATGGGACAAGAGGGAATGGCCTCAAGTTGCACCAGGGGAGGTTTAGGATGGATATTAGGAAACATTTTTACCCTGTGAGGGTTATTAAGCCTTGGAATGGGCTGCCCAGGGAAGTGGTTGAGGCATCATCCCTGGAGGGATTTAGAAGATGGGTAAAAGATGTAGTGCTGAGGGACATGGGTTCATGGTGGACTTGGAAGTCCTGGGTTAATGCTTGGACTCGATGATCTTAAAGGTCTCTTCCAATCAGACCTATTGGAGCTAAATGCGACATAGTTGCATCAAGGCTGATTTTTATCCTCTGCAAGCTGAGAGGAAATGGCCTCAAGTTGCACCAGGGGAGGTTTAGGATGGATATTAGGAAACATTTTTACCCTGTGAGGGTTATTAAGCCTTGGAATGGGCTGCCCAGGGCAGTGGTTGAGGCACCATCCCTGGAGGGATTTAAAAGATGGGTAAAAGATGTAGTGCTGAGGGACATGGGTTAGTGGTGGACTTGGAAGTCCTGGGTTAATGCTTGGACTCTATGATCTTAAAGGTCTCTTCCAATCAGACCTATTGGAGCTAAATGCAATATAGTTGCATCAAAGCTGATTTTTATCCTCTGCAAGCTGGGAAATAATATTTGTGCACTGGCAGAAGAGTCATTTTCATCTTTCTGACAGTTTTCAGCTGTACTATTACTTTGAATCAATTTCAACTCTATGGTGTTAAACAAATATTTTACTGCTGTCTCATGGAATTAATCTTGTAGATAAAGACTGTGGGAATTTGTGTGGTGTCCAACAGTGTCTGACTATAGAGAAATACCATTGCCACAGGACTGTTTTGAGGCTGGGAAAAGGCACGCTTCCCTCATTTTACACGTGGATATCAAAATGAAAGCTTTATATATTTATTTTAACATGTTGTCTATTTTCCTTGTTGTTATACTCTGTTTGGTTTGTAGCTGGTGGAGAGGGAAAGGAGTGGGAGGTGTCCCTGCCCAGGGCAGGGGGTTGGAACTCGGATGATCTTTAAGGTCCCTTCCAACTCTAACAATTCTATGATTTTAAAACTTTACGATTCTAAAAACTTCAGAAAGGCCCAAAAGGCAGAGTGGAGCACAAACCACCCCCAGCCTCCTGCCGCCAGGGGGCGCTGTTCGCCGCCGCCGCCGCTCTCTGTAGCTGGTGGAGAGGGAAAGGAGTGGGAGGTGTCCCTGCCCAGGGAACGGGGTTGGAACTCGGATGATCTTTAAGGTCCCTTCCAACTCTAAAAATTCTATGATTCTATGATTTTACGATTCTAAAAACTTGGGGAAGGCCCAAAAGGCGGAGTGGAGCACAAACCACCCCCAGCCTCCCGCCGCCAGGGGGCGCTGTTCGCCGCCGCAGCCGCTCTTTCCTGCCCTCTCGATGGTTCTCCCCCCGCCTCTCGCTCGCCTTCACCCTTCGCTTCCGGCGTTGCCACGGGCGGCCAACTTCCGCTTCCTGCTTTCTAGTTCCGGGTTCTCCGGTGGAGGCGGCGATGGCGGCGGCCTCCTCCTCCTCGGCGGCCGCGGGCTGCCGGGAGGGCCCGGCGGTAGCGGCGGGAGTAGGGCCCGGCTGGAGCGACTCCCAGTTCCGTCGTTACTCTTTCGAGACGCGGCCCATCCCGCGGCTCAGCCACAGCGACCCCCGCGCCGAGGAGCTCATTGAGAACGAGGTGCGGTGGGCAGCGGTGGCCCGGCCCGGCCCGGCTTGGCCTGGGGGGCTTGTGCTTCGTGTCTGGCCGGCTAGAGCCGAGCTTCTCGGAAGGTGCGGGGCTCTCCCGCCTCCCGCTGCCGTCCCGAGGCTGTCCCTCTAAAAGCTACCGCCCCCCCTGCCGCGGAGCGCCCGCCGTGCCCCTTCCCCCCGCCGGCTTGGTGGTTGCCCCTGTCCCCTTCCTCTCCGTCGTGGTGGCCCGTTCTTTACGTTGCCGCAACCTCGAGTTGTGAAATTTGCAGGAAAAGTTTGCTTTGACTGCTTTGTTGTCCGGGTGGAAACGTAGGAAGCCGTGGGCACAGGTTTGTTATTTTCTAAGTGAGAGGAATAGAGGCTTTTGTGTTGGTTCTGGGCAAGCTCAGTCTAGTTCTGGTAAGGTTGCTAGTTATTTGGGTTTTTTTTAATAGAATAGCCTGCAAGAAGGGAATGTGTACATGCACAGCTTGGGAGCAAAACAGTTGTCATTCTTGTTTAGGTTGCTTACTGTTTATAGGTGAGGAGATAAGTGATGTCCTTTGTCTTCTTTTTGTAGTGGTTCCTATTTTGGTGTAAAAGAGATGGGGTAATCTTGGGTTTTTTTGGTGGCTGAAGGTTATCTGCATCCTCTGGGTAAAAGAGCTGAGTGCTGGCTCTGTTTCTGGATTCAGAGGTATATTTCTGCCAGTATTTATCCCTTCATAGCTGAGGCTGGAAGCGACCAGACAAAATCTACTATGTCTTTTTGCTACGTGGCAGAACCAAGTAGGCCTAAAACTGTTCCCAGCAAGTGTTTGTCTAACCTCACGTGTTAGAGATTAGCTAAGCAGATAGTGGAATTTCTCCCATTGCTACCAGGAGCTTGCTGGAGGACCTGTTTTAAAACTTCCTACCACGTTATGCTTGTTTTTCTCCCCAGATGAAGGTGTCTGATTACCGTAAATGCCTTTTTCCAGTTCCCTGTTTTTCAAAGAGAGTTTGTGTGGCTGCAATAATGAATGTGTTCGTTCTCAAGTTCAAGAGGTCCTTGCATCACTAAACTTCCTGTTTCTCTCCAGGAGCCGGTGGTGCTGACAGATACGAATCTGGTTTATCCTGCTCTGAAATGGGACCTGGACTACCTCCAGGAAAACATTGGCAATGGGGACTTCTCAGTGTATAGTGCCAGCACACACAAGTTTTTGTACTACGACGAGAAGAAGATGGCCAATTTTAAGAATTTCAAACCCAAGTCGAGCAGGGAAGAGATGAAGTTTGCTGAGTTTGTGGACAGACTCAAAGAAATACAACAAAAAGGGAGTGCTGAGAGGTAAGTGATAGGAGAAAGAGGTCCAAGTAGGGGGTTCGTTTCTCTGCAGTGAGTGTTGATGATTAAACCCTCTCAACCTTTTCATTTATTTTTTTGTAGCCCTGCTTTTTCTGCTGGTTACCCAGTAAAAGAGAGTCACACTGTTAGTTAATCAGACTGTTTACATTGTCTGCAGAGACTTTTTTTTTGTCTTCTCAGACAGAGGCAGGGTTGGATAGAGAAAGCCTTAAGCTTCACTTTCTTTTGGTAGACTGTCGTATTGTTGGAGGAGCTGGTTATCTAATTAAAAAGTTGTGGTTTAACCCCAGCTGACAGGGAAGCACCACAGACCTGGTAGGAGAGAATTGGAAGAGTAAAAGGGAGAAAACTTGTGAGCTGAGATAAAGACAGTTTAATAAGTAAAGCAAAACAAGAAATTAACTCACTACTTCCCATGGGTGGGTGGCTGTTCAGCCATCTCCAGGAAAGCAGGGCTCCCTCATGCGTGATGGTTACTTGGGAATACCAATGCCATAACTCTGAACGTGCCCTTCCCTTTCCTTCTTTCCCTGGCTTTTTATTGTTGAGCGTGACACCATATGGTATGGAATAGCCCTGTTACTTGGGAATACAAATGCCATAACTCTGTACGTGCCCTTCCCTTTCCCTTCTTCCCCTGGCTTTTTATTGTTGAGCATGACACCAAATGGTATGGAATAGCCCTTTGGGGGTCAGCTGTCCCAGCTGTGTCCCCTTCCAACTTGCCCCTTTGGGGTCAGCTGTCCCAGCTGTGTCTCCTCCCAACTTGCTGTGCACTCCCAGCCTGCTCGCTGGCAAGTGGTGGGAGAAGCAGAAAAGGCCTTGATGCTGTGTAAGCACTGCTTGGCAGTAACTAAACCATCCCTGTATTATCAACACTGTTTCTAGCACAGATCCAAAACATAGCCCCATATTAGCTACTGTGAAGAAAATGAACTCTACCCCAGACAAAAGCAGCACAGAAGTACAGGCTGTAGCACTCAGGTTTTTTTACAGAATATCAAGGTATCTAACCCTCTTTTGGAAAGATAATTTTGCCTACGTGCAGTATATGCCTTGGTGGTGATGGCCTGCACCACGAGCAGAGCTGTAAGTTACTGAGAGGAATTTCATGTTTATACAGACTATAACTATTAGCAGCTGTAGTTAAACACTCAGTTAATTGTGTCAGTCACCAGCTCTCTACAAGGACTTATGGATGCTTAATTCTGTCTTAATTGGAAGCAACTCTGTGCCTCTGTCCACTTGTCATGTGTACATTTTTCTTCTTTCTCAAGCTTCGAGTACACTTTTTCCAATAGGGAAGGCAATCCTTGGACTTAAACATTCATTTTTCTTCCAGCATTGCAGACAGTAGCCTGCAATACTGCAATTATTTATACAGAGGTTTGGGGACAGTCTTTTTTTAGTGGTGCCCAGTGACAGGACAAGAGGTAACAGGCACAAACTGGAACATAAGAAGTTCCACCGAAACATGAGGAGGAACTTCTTTCCTGGGAGGGTGGCAGAGTCCTGGAAGAGGCTGCCCAGGGAGGTGGTGGAGTCTCCATCTCTGGAGACATTCAAACCCACCTGGACACGATCCTGTGCAACATGCTCTGGGTGGACCTGCTTTGGCAGGAGGTTGGACTAGATGATCTCCAGAGGTCCCTTCCCACCCCATATCAGTCTGTAATTCTGTGATTCCCTGTGGTCCTCTATGTCTAAATTTAAGCATGTCTTCATGTTCATGACAAGCTTAATACTAGATTTTTGCTCGTCTCTGGGAAAATACAGGCTATATCTGCAGCAAACCCTGAATGACACAGTTGGAAGGAAGATTGTGGTGGATTTCCTTGGCTTCAACTGGAACTGGATTAACAAGCAGCAAGGGAAACGCGGCTGGGGTCAACTGACTTCTAACTTGCTTCTTATTGGCATGGAAGGTAAGCAGGTTCCTCTGACTGGAGGAAAAAGGGAGAAAAGGGCTCTGTTTTCAGTAATTGTTTATCATATTCTGAGACCTGTTTATCGTTTGAACGTTTCAGATGCTGTAGATTTAAAATAAAAAAGGGTTTGCAAGTTGAGCAAAGTTAGTTTTCTGGACTTTGCTTACCATGTCCAATGTCTACCCAGGAGGAAATGCTGATTCTTACATGAAGCATTTGTTCTTAAATGACCTGGTACACTGTGAGGCCAGATTCTCTTTCAATTAAAAGCTGACTTTCTTCTTGGAAGGTTAGAGGGTAGTGAAGAACCTGAAGATGGATAAATCCTAAAAATATTTGGGTAGAGTGGAATTCCAAATCCATCTGGAGACTGACTGATAGGCAGGTGCCTTAGAAGACAGAGGTGCCACTATGCTGCTGAAAAGGAGAATGTTCTAGTAGAAAGTAATCTCAATAACTGGGTGAGGAATGTACGCGTTTTTGTGAAGTGGGATGGCCTATAGTCAATGTATAGAAAAAGCAAGCATCTTCAGAGGAGCCTGTGATTGATCTATTTAATGAAGTTAGGGAGTTAACTGTTATCTTAATTCTCTTTAGTGAAAATACGTCTAAAAAGCAAGCTAAAAGAGAAATATCTGAATTGGCAAACAGCCTGAAAATTGTAGTTGTGAGGGGTACAAAATGACCTACTGTATTTAAATATTTGATTAAATTTAAGATCTAGTGGTGACAGTCAAGCTTCATTACTGTTAAGCAGACTGAGGAGATGCTATTGGGAACACCAATGACAAAGAGATTTGTTTACTTGTTTTCGAGCAAAACAACTAGGACTTTTTTTAAAATCCGACTCCTTTTCTCCAGGCTAATCATTTTTGAAAGTCCATTCCACAACTTGTCTTCTAAAACAGTGTTTTATGAAAAAGCTTCCTGTCGACATTCACCATCTGCTGTTCATGGAAACAAGCTGGAAATCCTAATCCTGTAGAGCATAAGTTGCTGAATATGGATTTAGAATGGAAATTAAGTGGGACAGCAACTGCTCAATAAAGGCTGACTGATACAGTGATCAGTTTGTAATGTTCTGGCGGTCAATTTCCTTGTTTAGTTTTTTGATTATGTGGGAGAGTATTTACTGTCTTTAGCAAGGAATAAAACCTGCTTCTGTCCTTTGTACCTGTACGTGAGCGTGTCTTGATTATCGCTTTTTCTCTCTGTGTAGGGAATGTGACACCAGCTCATTACGACGAGCAGCAGAACTTCTTCGCTCAGATTAAGGGTTACAAGAGGTGTATCCTGTTCCCTCCGGATCAGTTCGAATGCCTCTACCCTTACCCCGTGCACCATCCCTGTGACAGACAGAGCCAGGTGAGTGCAGCAGATCTGCTCTCTGCTCCGGGCCAAAAACGGGCACTTCTGAAGTTGGGAGGAAGCTGCACTAATTGCATACCATTTGCTGAGCTGCTGCAAAACCTGGGTTCAGATCTGGTGGCTGCTGAATACACTGAGAATAGATGGAATCATAAAATGGTTTGGGTTGGAAGGGACCTTCAAGATCACCCAGTTCCAACCCCCTGCCCTGAGCAGGGACACCTCCCACCAGACCAGGTTGCTCCAAGCCCCATCCAGCCTGGCCTTGAACCCCTCCAGGGATGGGGCAGCCACAGCTTCTCTGGGCAACCTGGGCCAGTGTCTCACCGCCCTCACAGCAAAGAATTTCTTCCTAATACTTAATCTAAATTTCCTCTCTTTCAGTCTAAAACTGTTACCCCTTGTCCTATGGCTCCCCTCCCTGATCAAGAACCCTCCCCATCTCTCCTGGAGCCCCTTTAGGGACTGGAAGGGGCTGTAAGGTCTCCCCGGAGCCTTCTCTTCTCCAGGCTGAACAACCCCATCTCTCTCAGCCTGTCCTCACAGAAGAGGTGCTCCAGCCCTCTGAGCATTTTCATGGCCTCCTCTGGACTCCTTCCAACAGGTCCATGTCCTTCCTGTGCTGAGGACTCCAGAGCTGGACACAGTGCTCCAGGTGGGCTCTCACTAGAGCAGAGTCGAGGGGCAGAATCCCCCCCTCACCCTGCTGGCCACACTGCTTTTGGTGCAGCCCAGGATGGGGTTGGCTTTCTGGGCTATGAGCACACGTAGCTGGCTCATGTTGAGCTTCTCATCCACCAACATCCCCAAGTTGTTCTCCTCAGGACTGCTCTCTATGCATTAGGGACTGATGGTGTTTCTGTTTGTGTCTGGTCCTGACTTGCAAGTGCTCGGGCTACAAACATCTCACTGATAGCACAACTGGGCTGCAGTTACTGCCTTCTCTGTTCTGTTTCACTGATCAAACACAAATTTGCTCAGAGACAAATTGCAAGACTCTTGTCTAAGTTGGTGGTACTTTTGGGGCACTGCAGGACATCTCAGTGGAGTTAAGACATGAATGGGAATGTAAAAGCCGTATAGGGAAGATCAGGAGGATTTGGTACAGAGAGCCAATAAAGAGGACTGTCACTGCAGGATGTTCTTCTAAGTTTTTTAATATTTTCTTCGTTAGGTGGACTTTGACAATCCTGACTATGAGAAGTTTCCAAACTTCCGGAGCGTGGTTGGCTACGAGACGGTGGTGGGTCCAGGGGATGTGCTGTACATACCTATGTACTGGTAAGAAGGATGGTGGGGCTGCATGTTGACCAGCAAACAGAGGTTTAAAAGGTCTCCTTAAAGTGTTGGGGTGGCTCTTCAGAGAATTTTGTTTTGACTTCTCCAGCAAGTGTGATATTTTCTGTAATGTCTTGGGCCAATCTTCTTTTTCCTGTCTGTTGGATGGGAGTGGTAATTCTCCCAGACACTGCATTATTGTGTGTGTACTCCATTAACCTTTGTGAGAAAAGGATCTGTATTTAAATTTCCAGAAGTTCTGAGGTCTTGATGATGGAGGTGTGCAGAGCAAGGCTTGTCTAATGCAGCCTGAACTCATCCATCCAAGGTATTTCACTTTAAGCTACAGCAATAATTTCTTTTCTTTTTTTTTGGTGTGGTTTCCATGCAGGTGGCACCACATCGAGTCTCTCCTGAATGGGGGCATTACCATCACTGTGAACTTTTGGTACAAGGTGAGTACAGCCACCTTCCCACACAGCTTGGATAGCTCTAACCCAGAGGATTTTTTTCAGATAGATGTGTATTAGCACGTGTTGTCGATCTGAGAACTTCATTGCACCAAATCCTTTGTGTTAAAGCTGAAAGGTGTTTTCTCCCTTTGGAGTGGTGTGTGAAGAACTGGGTGGCTGGGAGAAGGTGGAAGAATCTGCTGATTCAGGAAGCATGCAATGAGCTATTTTTTGATTTTTTCAGGGCGCCCCAACCCCAAAGAGGATTGAATATCCATTAAAGGCTCATCAGAAAGTCGCAATAATGAGGAACATTGAGAAGATGTTGGGAGAAGCCTTAGGAAATCCACAAGAGGTACAAAAAAGAACCATGTAGTCACTGCTGTTGAATTCGTTATGGCTTAATGCACCACTTTTGATGCCAGCTCTCTGGTGATCTGCAGGGGTCACAAAGAGGGTAGGAGAAAGCAGGGTTGTTCTCTTGCTGAGAGTGGTTCTTCCTGCTGTCTTCAGGAGGTCCTTTGGCTACAAAAAGGCAAGGTCTTTAAATTATAGTTCTGCAGAGGACGACTACAAACAATGGAGTAGCTGGGGGGAAGGTGTACTTTGGCTTTGGACACTGCCAGGGAAGCGTTGCTCCCAAATTCTCCTTAGTCTTCTCTACAACACCACCCAGTATTTGCCAAAAAAATGAAACTGTTGAATCCAAATCTCTTATTTAAGAGAAATCTTTTCAATTGCATCATGTGTTTCCCCTTAATGCATGTCTTGGTCATTTCTGAATTTTTTGCAACTTTAACCGACTGGTTCTGCAGAGTGAGAGCACTAAGAGAATGCTCTCAGATCTCCTGCAGATCTGAAAGTGGAACTACTGGACACGAATACAAATGTTTTCATGGTCTGTAACCCTTAAGCACAGCACAGGAGCTCGTATGAGGTTATGCCTCTCTCCTGAGATTATTGGGGTTGGAACTATGTGATCTTTAAGGTCCTTTCCAACCCAAACCATTCTATGGTTGTTACTGCTACTGTGTGCTGAACTTCCCTGAAGTGGAAATGGGAGTGTCTTGACTGAAAATAAAACCTTAGGAAAATCATCAGTCCTGGCCTTTCTTCTAAGTGACCCCAAGGACCAGAGAGGATTCAAGGACCAGAGAGAATTCAATGAGGAAGAATGTTCCTTCTCTGCCCTGCAAAAAGCCACCCCTGACGACTGTTGGCTCCTTTTAGTAGCACCTACTGAGAAATCATGAATGTAGGGTAGGAAGTGACGAAGTTTCAAACGGATACTGTGGCTGCAATGATTTGGTCACAGCTAAAGTTGAGCGTTGGCAGAGAACCCTGCAATTTTGGAATGGGTGTTTGAGGATGTGCTCAAGGGTGCTCCAGTGTTTTGTCTAGAAAATGCCTCGAAAGTGATTTGGTGTAACCTTAGGCTCAGTTTTTGTGCTGAGATCCTCTGCCCTGGGCTGCTCAGCTCGTAAGGTGGTGTGATGCAGAGGGAGCAGGCCCTGCGGCTGCCGTTTCTGTCACTGTCCCCCACTAACAAATCTGTTTCTTCCCTTTGAACAGGTGGGTCCCTTGTTGAATATGATGATTAAGGGACGGTATGACTAATGCCTGGCTTCCCCGGGTGACTGATGTTGGAGCTGCTTTGTTCACAAGCAATGGAAGATACTGAGCGCTAGTATTGCACGCAGCACTTAACAGACTGATGGGTTTCCTGGCCCATCCCTGCCCCACTACAATAAAAGGGGGGCTACTGGAACTGCAAAAACCGTTAGTACCCCATTCATCCTCCACTCTCACCTAACCGAACCTCCCAAGAAAGAGTCTGCACTTACTGGAAGCTGGATTCATGCTCCCTAACTTGTTATTTTTTCTCCCTCTGCCCTGTTTGCCACGACAAGGAGCATGGCTTCTGGCACTCGGGATTTGTTGCTTCAGGATTTTCAGGCATTTGAAGAAGAGCTTGGAGGAGAACCAGGCGTGATCTTGTTTCCTCAGCGTCACGGAGTTTGGGTTTCCTGGCTGGGTTTATGTGTCGGTGCCTGCGTTTGGATGTAAGATGGGAAGCGATAGGTTTCCAAGTCCTCTGTTGTTAGAGGACCTGTTCATGCTCAACTCTGACACCTTTTTATATAGTGGAAACAAACACGTGAGATGGCCTGTGCGTAATGAGCAACTTGGACAAATAATTCCGTTTCTCCAACTTAAAACATCTACACTTTGGACTTAGTACAGGGTAGAGATCAGAGTGAATTCATGGAGCGTGCAAGCGCCAAATCCAATGCTCTCCAAACGACATCTTGTGTTGTAGGAGTCTAGATAAACCTCCTTCCTGACAGCTTTCTCTGGGGAGTGAAGGCTTCTCTCCTGCTCTTCCGAAGCTGCAGCACGGTTAAAAGGGGCCGTAGCGTTATGAAGGGAGAGGCATAAACCAGGACACTCGCCAAGTCTTGAATCATTAAGCCACATTTTTAAATGAAGTTCCCCATGGGTGCCGAGCTAGACTGTCAAAACGCAGTGTCAGATAGGTACAGAGCCTCCCTTCTCCCCCCCGGGGGTGCTGGTTCCTCAGACTAACACAGGGAAAGTGCCCTTTTTACCGAAACTGCAAGAACTCAAGCGTGTGTGTGGCTGCACGCCCGTGCGCGTGGTTGTGTGATGTCGTGTGGCTCCTGTCCATCAGTGAAATCCACACCAGCGTGTGGTTCCCTTCCTTGTACAGTCAACGTGAGAGAGGTCAGGGCTTTCTGTTTAAATGTGGTTAAAGTTTTTATCTTGATCTTTTTTGTGTTCCGGGACTTGACGTGGCAGGTTGGGAAGCGACAAGACCAGGGCATAGGAACCAGACAAGCTTCTGTTTAAGGGCCATCAGCCTGAAAATTCTTTTTGCTTTCCTCCTCTTTTATGCAAAAGCCTTATTTAAGGCTCACATGGAGGTTGGCTTTTGATTCCCTGAGGTGTGCTGCACGGCTGGCCCTGGTTTTGGGGGGTGGTGCAAAGGTCTTGTATATTTGATGCGGTTGTAAAGGGTCCCAAGATCTAGAGGTGGAAAAACGTGTTCCATACTTCATGTATCTCATCCCAGAGAATAGTGGGGGACTTGTCCTGTTAAGGCTTCCCAGGGTTTTCCCCTCCTTGTTTTTCGGGGCTTGTTTTGATGTGGGATTTGGAGAAAAGCATTGAGAACGTGCCGCTCAAGAAGCATCCCACCTTTGGCCTCTGGTCCCATCCTTCGCTGGGCCGGCTGATGCACCGCTCGCGGTGAGTTTGTCTTGCAAAGAGGTGAAAGGCTTCTCAAATGGGACAGCCCAGGGGCCAGTCTTCTGGCTGCTTCACAGGTCAGAACAAATGAAGTGTAATTAGCAGCCACAGGGTCCTTGTTTAAGAAATCTGTGTCACAGTAGTCTGACTGCCACCTTACTTGTTGCAGACTCTCCTGAGCTGGGGTTAGATCCAGACGAAGGTCACTCAGCTGGATAATTATCGATGCTCAGCCTTTGGGCTGGTGGGGAAGAAGGCTGAGCTGCTGACCCTGGTCAAAAGCAAGGCCTTCCCAGGAATCGTGGGGGCAGGCCCTTGGCTGAAAGATGCTCAAATGAAATCCCATCTCTGTGCTATTTATTCAGCACGTGGTAGTCTCCAGTACCACCAGTTAGACACCATCAACTCGTGAAAGCTCAGGGTGGGAGTTCATGTCCCGTGTGGAGAGAGAATGGTACTTACAGAACTTTAGGATCCTATTGTTGTTTTTTGTTTTCTTTATTTGCCAAAGGTCTAACTTTTAAAGTGTCTGAACAGGTTTTGCTGCACTTGACTTCGTGAAAGCTCATTTACGATGCACTGATGGACTGACTCCCCCCTCTCCTCCCCGCCCCCCCCACCTTTTCCCTTTTCACCTTGTGCTTTCAAATGCCCCTCGCCATGGTATTGGGAAGCTGTGTGTGTTCTCTGCTGGGGGTGTGTGTGCAGGGGGTGGGGTGTGACAAACACACGGTACCTTCTGAAGTGTAGTTCTTAAAATACAACCAATGTGGAACAACAGAAGTGAGTGGTTTTTCTTTTGTCAGAGGCTGACCTGGATGGTTGTCACCAACGGGATGATGGAACAAACTACACTGTGAGGTCTAATGAGTTCTAACAGTTGTTTATCCTTTGGGATATTTTGTTTTCCGTTTGGTCCTTTATCTGATTCATATTTTTGTCAATGAGGTTTTGTGGGGAGCTGTGATGCAGGGCTGTCCCAATGCAGATGGGGGTGAAGGGGGAGACCCATGGCATCAGGGCAGCTCTTGAGGGAAAGAGGGACAGGTCTGGGCTGAGCCTGCTGCTTCTTTTCTTATTGACTTGGGTCTTAGTCTGGAGAAGAGAAGACTGTGGGGGATCTGATCTTTGAGGGTGGCAGAGCCCTGGAAGAGGCTGCCCAGAGAGGTGGTGGAGTCTCCTTCTCTGGAGACATTCAAAACCCTCCTGGACACGTTCCTGTGCAACCTGCTCTGGGTGGACCTGCTCTGGCAGGGGGTTGAACTAGATGATCTCCAGAGGTCCCTTCCAACCCTATATCATTCTGTGATGCTTTACAGCAGTTCTTCCCAATGAGCGAGCAGACCTTGACTGCAGCCAATGGCTCTTTAAAGTCCTAGAACAGGGATGGTGCACTCAAGGTCTTGACAATCTCTTGGTAGTCCTCTGTTTTGATGCATGGTCAACCCACGCTGCTGTCCCAACCATAGAAGTGGAGCAGAGACGGCAACAGGGAGTCCTGCCTTTGCACGTCGTTTTTCAAAGTGCTTTTCTCTAAGCCTCCCTCCTGCCCCACATGTGTGGGGAGCTTCCTTGGGCTCTGGGTTATGCCCTTCATCTTCTGTTCCTCTTTGGGAGATGACACCTCCTGTCAACATTGTCTCCTGGGAAGTCCTGAAGTCACCATCTTCCCTGGGTGCTTTTCTGCCTCGCTGCTGCCCGGAAGGGAAAGGAAAAGGGAAAGAACCGCTGTTACCGTGACAAACACATGCGAAGTAAGTTCTAATTACTGCCTTGCAAAGTCAAATATTTGTTGCGAGCGGAGGACTAATTGGGGGGGGAGGGAGCGGAAGTGGAGGCTCTTGGAGTGTAAGTGGAACAGATGCCCGGACGCCTTGGGGAAACGCAGCTTTTCCTCTACAAATCAGAGCTTTAAATTACAAGGCTTTTACCAACGAGAACAGTTGTGGGAAGTCGTCTGCTCTCATTTGCGTAATGGCTTCTGTCACTGGTGATTAGACACAGGATGAAGGAAAAGAAATTTGACAATTAGGAATGAGCGATCATTAATCAGAATCTTTGTTAGAAGGAGGGAAAGGCGGGGGGGGGGAATATCCCGCAAACAATGGAGACAGCCACTAGAGCCACTGCCAAGTCCATAGAATCATAGAATGGTTAGAGTTGGAAGGGACCCTAAAGACCTTCTAGTTCCATCCCCTGCCCTGGGCAGGGACACCTCCCACCAGACCAGGTTGCTCCAAGCCCCATCCAGCCTGGCCTTGAACCCCTCCAGGGATGGGGCAGCCACAGCTTCTCTGGGCAACCTGTTCCAGTGTCTCACCACCTTCACAGTGAAAAATTTCTTCCTAATGTCTCATCTAAATCTCCCCTCTTTCAGTTTAAAACTGTTACCCCTTGTCCTATGGCTCCACTCCCTGATCAAGAGTCCCTCCCCATCTCTCCTGGAGCCCCTTTAGAGACTGGAAGGGGCTCTAAGGTCTCTCTGGAGCCTTCTCTTCTCCAAGCTCCATTGCTACTGTTGCTCTGCAAAGTCCCCTCCACCTGGGTATGGAGCAGAAGGGAAGGCTCTTGGCATGGTTCTTCCATGGAGTCCTTCCCGTGCTCTCCAGTGATCCCCAGCAACCTGCTTGGTAAGGGAGAGAGCTCACCTTGGAGCCTTCTCCTTGCCCCATCAACACCTTGCCCTTCCTTCTCAGTGCCTGGCTGCAAACTGCCAGCAAAAAAACCCCACAGAAACAACTTCTTAAATTGTTTTCAAAGCACGGAAATGACTTAAATTATGGTGGTCTCCTTTCCTCACACCTTGTGTGCAGCCTCTGCTGTGGAGGAGAGCTGCCATGGGCCTTGACTGTTGTGGAGAAAGATCAGGAGGAGCGACGTGAAAGCAGGTCCAGGCTCTTTTTCCTGATAACGTCATTTTCCACGAGAGCTCGGAGGAACATTATGGGCTGTGTGACAGGTAAATAAAAGAAGGCAGTTGTGACCTCTCTCTGCCTGTCGTTTGCCAGCTTTAGCTCCTCACCCAGCCACGCACAATCCAGTATCAGCATTTGTTGGGGTTTTGTGGGTTTTGATGAAATTACTAGTACACGTGAAATCTGTGGTACCTGTTTTTCCTCCAGCTGTCACTCAAAGTCTTCTCAGGTGAAACATTTTGGTGTAGTTCACGCTGCCTCCGATGAGATCAACAGTTATAGCTTGGGAGGAGGGATGATGAACCATTTGTGGGGCATGCCCCATCCCTGGAGGGGTTCAAGGCCAGGCTGGCTGGGGCTTTGAGCAACCTGGAGGTTGCTCCAACCTCCTCCAACCTGGAGGAGGGCGTCTTCTTATCCACATCCTTATTATTTTAAATGCCTGTTTAAATTTGGAGGAGTGCACCTCATGCTGTTTCTGGATGGTAAAGCAGCCTGTGGTGATGGGGGAGGTTGCTGTTGGAATTCACCCCACAAAATTGCTGTAAACCCTAAGAAAGACTGTGTCACAGCAGGGTATGGCCCTTGCTGTGGGAAATGTCACTGTGCTGGGGTGGCAAGAGCCACGGGTACAACTTTCATCTCAGAGTTTCAGTTGTGTTTTCTCCTGGATAGTCAGGATTCACCATTGGATGTGACCATTCTTACTTGAGTGTAAGAAGTTCCACCTAAACATGAGGAGGAACTTCTTTCCTGTGAGGGTGGCAGAGCCCTGGAAGAGGCTGCCCAGAGAGGTGGTGGAGTCTCCTTCTCTGGAGACATTCAGACCCCACCTGGACAACCTGCTCTGTTCCTGTGCAACCTGCTCTGGGTGGACCTGCTCTGGCCAGATGTTGGACTGGATGATCTCCAGAGGTCTCTTCCAACACCATATGATCCTTTGAAACCCCTTGGGAAGCCAGGAAGGGAGGAGAACATACTCTATCCTGTACATAGGTAGGTTGTTACAAGATCTGCTGCATGTCCCATGCAATGAGCTGTGTGAAGACTCTGCCCGAGCTGAAAGCAGCTAAAGGAGTGAGGTCAAATCATTTCCTTCTAGAAAAGGACAGTCCTCATGGCCAGAGAGGACACAGGGGTTATAACAGCATCCAAGGAGACAGCCTCTATGGGAGAGCTTAGGACCATGGGCAATGGACTGGTTCTGCCTGAGCTTGGCTGCTGCCAGGACCTTTGATGGTCTCTCAGAAGCTGCTCCTATCCATCTGTATTTCACTGGGGTAAAATGCTTCAGGCAGCAAAGAATTACTGGTGCTGGTGGGTATTTAGGTGGGACACCAGCCTCTACAGGCTGTGGAGCTGGTGGGTATGGGGCAGTAAGACCTTGGCATTTGAGGTAATAAGCTTCTGGTCTGTCAGTTCGTGTGAACTACAGAGATTTGTGGAGCTGGGGAGTCCCGGGGCCATGTCACTTGGGCTGTCAGATCTGACACGGCTCTGGCAGAGCAGACCTTAGTGCTCTCTGAGCCCCCCTCCGGGGGTGGTGGGGGGTGAGCAGGGGTGGGAATCTCCAAGTGGGCTTCAGGGCTCTGAAGGACCCACTCACCTGCCACCAGTTCACTCCCAGCATGGCCCGGGGCTCCTCACTTCCACCTCCTCCCCAGCACGGTAGCGATCCTGGGTCTCCTGGTTTTGCTGTTTGTTTATAGCTCTCCCCATCCCATCTGTCTTTCTCTCCTCCTTCCTCCCCTTCCTCCTCCCTCCCTCTCCCTCTCCCTCCTCCCCCTCGTTCCCTGTAAGCGATTAATCATTTTGACAGGCTCGGCGATGGCCTTTATTTCCTTGAGGCGGCCAAGAAATGTCTGCGAGCACCTTCTCTGACACCCCTCGTGTTCTCTCACCAATCAGACCAGCCACTTCGCTTGGAGTGACACCACCAGAAAGGCAGGGGGTGGGGGAAACTCCAGCAGAGCCAGCTGGGGAAACGGGCAGTGGGACAGCACCCAGTTGGGGTGCCATGTGGTGTCCCCCCACCGTTAGCAGTGATGAATATGTCATTTCACTCTAGCTTGAACGTGTCATACGTTGCTCCCTCCCTCTCCTCCCCAGGCTCCCCTGCAAACCTTGGTTTGGGTGCAAAGGCACCTGGGATGAAATCAGGCTGCTCGGAAAAATATCAGCCTCCAACAGAGGAAAAGCTGTGGGTGAAGAACGAAGAGCAGGTTGGGATCTTCCAGGGGAAAAAAGAACGGGGATGATCCTGCAGATGGATGTGAGAACCTGGGAAATGGATGTGACCTTCCTGGGAAACTCCCCTTTGTCTTGGGCAGGAAGGAAGGTGCCTCCAAGCCTTGGTCATGGTTCTCCTGGACTTGTGCTGTTGTCACGAGGATGCCTTCCACTGACCAGCAGGTGGGAGAGCTCTCAGGGCATGGTATGTGCTATTGCAAATGGCTGTACCACTTGGCCAGAATGAAAACAGGTTGGATCAGGGTGCGTGATGTTCCCAAGAGAACTTTTTATCTGCTCTAATCAAGCTTTACAGCATCCTCCATCCCCTTGGCACGGGACCCAAGGCTGCCGTACCTCTAGAGTTATTCTTTCTCCTCTTAGCATGAAAATAACTATTTTCCATAGTGGGAAGGAGAGGGCCAGAAGTAACCATTCTACCAGGGGCCTCTACCAGAGACCCTTTGTGCAGAAGAGGGTATTGTAATGAACACTTGAAGAAGTGGAGGAGATGGTGAAGAAGGAAAAGAAGTTGAAGATGCTGCACTAGAAGCCAGATGGAACATGATGTAAGTGGCTGGATATAGTGGGGTGGCTGAGGGAGCTGGGGGTGTTCAGCCTGGAGAAAAGGAGGCTGAG